TTTTTTAAATTCTTTATTCATTTCCACTGTAATTTTTTAATAGTTTGAATAGAATTATTTAATCCGATTTTTTTATCTAACATCTTTAGGTTAAATTGCCAGATTAAATAGGACATTTTAAAAACTATAAAGTATTCACGCGTTTAAATTGAATTGTTGGATAGTAAAATAATAGCGGAAATTAAGACTTGTTTGTGGTTACTTCAGTGAGATTATAACGAATTAATTAAAAAACTAATTATTGTCACAGGGATTTAAAATAAAAGAAACGAATGAAAAATTCTCTTGTACAATTTTATTTTCAATTAAGTTTAAAAATGTATCATTTTAATGTATTCTGAGCGAGTAATATGCCACGACGTTGTAAAATGAATAAAATAGATTTATATAAGTATTATTTAAAGGGACGTACAAGCTCAGCTTTATAAATTTACTCTTATAAACCGTATCAATAGTTTTATCCTGATTATACTATGACATTTTGTAAAATTGTTTCCGACAAGGGCTTTAGTTTATTACAGGATCGATGGGCAATGACATTACCTAAAAAAGTCGTTTTCCTCGCGTTTAAATATACGCTGGTGTTGATAGTATACCTATTCCCTTTATAGCTGGCGATTTGTCAACCTGGATTGACTTTTCCAATCCTTTATTTACTTCCACCTCGATATAGGTCACACACAGGTTGCCGCGGGAAGTGCACTAGATCCCTAAGACTTATCATAATATTATTAAGTTAATAAAATTGAATTAAACCGGAAAATTCATTCTAGGTAAACACAGTTTACAGCAAACAAACATTGAAAAATATTTTCGTAAGAGTAACTGTAACAAAGCAAATAGTAAACTATTTTCATTTTTTGTTGAGGTCGTCATTGTGAGCCAACATAATCGTCAATTAATTCACTGAGCAACCTATTATTAAACATAATTATTTTTACCATAGGGTTTTTGAGAGTATTGATTTTAACTGTTACGCTGTGTATATTTGAATAAGGTTGACGGCTTAATAATTGAAACTCTAGAATCGGGTCATTTCTCATTATGTTACACCATACGAGTAATATATTATATATGCAAGCGGTCTTTCGACAGCACTCTGTTAATATTCATTAATTAGTCATGAAAGTTTTTTAAAACCTATACAACAACCATAAATTATACATAATTAAAGTTAATCACACAGTTAACCACCAAAAAACATTTAACGATTAATACTACAGTGAAACGTGAACATAAGTTTAAAAATAAATCAATCTAATACTAATTCAAGGCATGCGAATACACTTATTTCACAATTTGCTCTTTTATATATTTTTACCGTAGCAATTAGTTGACAATGCCAGATCAATTCAAACAATGAATAATAACGATCAACGATATTTTTTCAATATATCTGACGCTCCGTTATGCATCATTTAATTGAAACGTGTATGGTG